TTATCCCTGACACAGCTGAGCTAGTCACATTCACCAATCCAAATAGTCTTCATTTTTTTCTTTCATCACAAAGTCGCATTTATTCTGAATCTTTCGTTCAACAATCACCCGCAGATGTTGCATTCAAAGTAGCTTCTGGGAATAATGACAACTTTCGATATAACAGTTCAATCAAATCTAGTAGTCTGCAGTCAAATCTTCTTCATGTGCGTCAGCCAATCAGAAGCCGCGCACAGACGCTTAAGCGAAAAGCGCATCGACTTCACTTGTCTTTTCTTAACCACACAAATATCGCTTTAACTTCGCTCGCTACATCGACCAAAAAATTATCTTTCTTTCTTTCTTCATTATCTACAAAACCTTTAACCTCTATGTTTCATACTTGTTTTGTTATATAAAGAACGAAAAAAAAGTCTCATTTAAAGTTAATTAATTAAAATGGATCAAAGTTTTACTTCTTCGGACTCTATGAAGAAAGCAGAAGACCCTTCTTGGCCCTTACCGGACTGGACTACCTTACTACTGGGTTCCACAGAAATCTTGATGTCATTTATATTTTTTCGTGTTTTGTCGGCAATTTCAGCGAATTGGGTTAAAAAAAAATCGACAAGTGCTTTTCTCCCATCCGAAAAACTGCGGTGGAAGTGGAAAAATATTTTCGTGTCTTTTATACATGCGAATATCACTGGAATATGTTGCTTAGTGTGGTAAGTAAACAACGAAGAATAAATAAATAAAATAAAATAAATGGTTGTTGTTACAAAGCTTTGGAAAACAGAAATTTCACGAAAAATTTTAATTTATCTTTAGGAGTTTCAACTTTCGTTACCTCTTTACTCTCGTCTCTCATTCCCCGAAGAAGTGTGATGCCAACTTTTTAAAATCATTTTTGTTGTGTTATCAGCTTCGGTTCCAACCCACCGATATCTTAGTTACTTATAAAAATGTTTTAATTTTTTATTTTATTTTATTTTATTTATTTGTTTTTGACAAATTGATTCTCCCACCTGTTTCGTCTTCTGTCAACTTCCCACAGGCCTCCTAAAAGACACACCTTCTTACATTGTTTTTATTTAATTTATTTATTTTATAGCAATTTTCCAAGCGTAGCTTAGATGTGGCACAAGGCCGAAAGTATGGGGCACCCAGTGAAGATCGAACACGCTACTACTCATTCGTAATTGTGTTAGTTATTGAGATAAAGCTTCCTAGCCATCACATCACCCAATTAGTGTTTGTAACTTTACATTTTACAATTTACATTTACTATACAAAAAAAAAAAAAAAAATGTATAGTTTATTTCAATCTTTTAAAAATAATCTTTTCAGAATGTGCATACATTGAAATTAAACATTGTTGATGTTCTTTGGTCGATAGGAATCCCGAAATCGATTTTAAAAAAAACAAAAAAACTTTGTGTTTGTTAACTTAAGTGAACCTTGTATGTGAGGCTGTGGGGTAAAATATCACTCAACAAAAGAGTGGGAGTTTTTAATTTTATTTTCTAATTTGTTTTTAACTTAAGTGAATTTCAAAATTCGCTGTGATGACAATTTCTCTTTCTTTTTTTTTTTTTCTTTTTTTAACCCTCGTTTCATCGAAGGCGACTCTTTTTGTGAACTAAAAATTTCGCCGTGGGAATTCTTGCTCGGAAAATCTCATGCGTTTTTTTTTTTTTACCCCCATGCCATTATTTTTCCTCACGGTATGGTTGTTACTTTATTTTTTTTGCTTTTTACTAGAAAATGCCATGTTCGAGATGATTACTGTTGTTTAGTGTAGCTGGAAATATAGTAGTCGTCTAAATAAGAATAGTTACATAACATGGCAATATTTTGCAAGGAAAATATCTCAGGAATTAAATCCCATATTTTAATTTTTACTTGCTTCATAAAAATAAAATTTAACCTTATTTCCAACACATGGAGTCAGATAAATTTAGAATTGGATGAAATTGCCAAAATAAATAATGCAGGTCGGAGTAAATTAAAAATCGTAAAAAGGAGTAAGGCAATTGAATTAGTGGTATCGTACAGTTAAAAGAAAAAAGAAAGAAAAAGTCAACTCTCTTTTAGAAAAATTGAGTGTCGAGAGAGAGAAAACGAAGAAAAATAAATCGACTGAATGATTGCACAACTTTCAAAAACTTACAAAACTATAAAGTTATTATTTTCTTTAATTTTTTTTAATCTAATTTATTTATTTTATTAATTTGTGAACACATATCACATGCTTGTTGTTAGTTATATAAACTAGTTTTTATATAACTAGTTTATATAACTGGTTTACCTGTTGTAGTGACTTTCAGTGTGTAGTGTCAAATATAAAAGTAAAAAAAAAAAAAAGGCAATATTTCAATAACATTTATTTGCTTCATCTGCACGTGTAGCCCAGGTGCGTTTTTTTTAAACATTTCTCTTCTTTTTTTTTTTTTTTTTTTTTTTTTTTTGGTAATTTAAAAAAAAACAAACCAAGATTACATAAGGAAAAATAATTTTCAATTCTGCCCCACCCTCTCTCTCTCTCTCATTGTAGCGTCGAGTAATGCCTCATGATATCTATCCTTACTAAGTAGGCAAGGAGATCAGGTAGCGTAACAGGTAACAATATCACTAGTTACTAGTAGTGATATTGTTATTTTCTCGAGAGACACATAGAGGAAGAGAAAGAATCTCTTTATCCAATATTGCTCAAAGAAAAAAAAGTTTTAGAATGGCAAAGAAGAAATAAATATGAAACAAGTCCAAAGAATACATTTTTAAGTTGTAATGAGTCTTTATTGTTTAGGAGTTCAAAACTTAGGTAATTACTATGCTGTCCTCGTCTTTATTGCTATATTCATGACATTTCGGCCGTTGTACGCTCCGACCTTCTTCAGGTGATATTTTTATTGTAATTTCGAACCGAACTGTTTATTTAGTCCACAGGGGTAGATTGTCCTAATTCTACATGCCATGCTGTGGGCTAGCCTAAAAAAAGGGTCCAGTTCGAAATTTCAAGAAATATCACCTGAAGAAGGCCGGAGCGTACAACGGTCGAAACGTCGTGAATATGGCAATAAAGATGAGAACAATACCGAATAATGTAAATTAGTGTTTTAGTTACAATACCTCATCTCAAAAACATAGACAGATTTTTTAGATTATTATGGATGTTTTCTTAGACCCAAACCAAAAAGAACTTTTTTTAATTTTTCTTAAATATTAATTCTGAAAGTAATGTTTAACAAACTGTTTCTTCTTCGACTTACCGTGTCCCTTCAGGACGTGGACGATCATGACTCTCCACAATGTTATAAAATAAAATAAGACATATCTCGGCTGATTTACAGGCAAATACTCAAGAGCGAGAACCGGATATGAACGGGACAAAGCCCCGTCACAAAATGACCATTATCTTTCTTCACAAATGTTCCCGACACACGTGTTCCGGTCGAAAAATAAAATAATATTTAAAGTGCTCTATTTTTCGTCCAATAAAAATGCTTCCCTCCTAATTATACTCGCTTCGTTTTTCGAGCCTGTTAAGCCATAAAAAAACGCTATAAAGGGGTCACACGGAAGTTCAACAGTCAGTCCACAGATGGCCACAAAACAGACCTGTCAGGATGGCCGAGCGATCAGCAGCAGGGGAGCGTCAACCACCGTCAACATGTGTGAACTACTATGAGAGATCGACCTAGATCCGAAGCCGGCTTATGAACTATACCACAAGGTAGCTGTCCCAAACCCTCACGTTCATGTTGAAATAAACCACGTAAACCTATTTCTGCTGTTGTCGTATTTCTTTCTTGCAACCATACGCTTGTCTATAACACTGGTGTCAGAAGCGTACAGCAAGAGAAACATGGCCGACTACACGAGAAATTACAAATTATTATGTGTCCTAGAAATTGCAAATTTCTATTACGCTTGGAAATGAAAAAGTTAATTTGAGTCGAAAAGTTTGATAGGTTCATTTTTACGACTTATCAACCCTTTGCAGGTTATTTAAAGCCAAGAAATATTTAGAGATTGTAAGATTTTATTTTTAAGATAATAATGATTCAGTGATACAAGTCTTACTACTTAACACATAGCTGGGGAAGAAGCGGTGAATTCATACAAGGGTATTTGCACGTAAGTGAATATAACGAACCCAACGGGAATTGGAACTCGGCTCCCTGATTAGCAATTGTAACAATCTACTCCTGTGGACTAAATAAAGGGTTCGATCCGAAATTCCAAGAAATATCACCTGAAGAAAGCCGGAGCGTACAACGGCCGGAACGTCATGAATATGTCAATAAAGACGATGATAACAATAGTAGTGTAAATAATAATTGTCTAAGTTTTGAACTCCTTTATGTAAACATTTATTAAAAACTTAAAATGTTTTCTTTAGACTTGTTTGATATTTCTTTGTCATTCTGAAAACTTTTGTTTGAGCAATATTGGATTAAATAGATTCTCTCTCTTCCTCTATGTGTCTAGAAAAATAACAATCTCACTAGTATAAGTTTACAGTACTACATCACCTGCACATCTACGCTTACAGCACCTGGTATTCCCAAGCGGTCATCCATCCATATACTGACAGGGCTCAACGTTGCTTAATGTCCATGATCGTACGCCGTACGTAACATACCGGAATCGATGATTCAACGTGATTTGGCCATAAGCCTCAGAAGGTTTGTTGTAAGGAGGTGCGCGGGGTAGAGATTAACAGCGACTGACCTACCTAACGAGTTAGTGTAATATGGATGCTTGATAGAGAACAGTGATTAGGAGGGATAGGAAAGTGTGGAGATACGGCACATAACAAGGAGTATAAATAAAAATAGGTAATTGTGTACAGTACCACCCAATATATTATTATTATTTTTTTAAGTTTCACCTATTGTCAACATTGACAGAAGGCAGTCAAGTTAAGTACTGCAAAATTTTCGGTAAAACTATTTTCTTGGCATACTTTTAACATCCAAACGTAACAAAAGCAAATAAATGGGATATTTCAGTGCATGGAACGTTAAAGATATTTCTGTTCGATAGAAGCTAAACAGCAGCAATTCTCAGTCACTGTTCATTATCTATCTATCTATCTATCTATCTATCTATCTAGGTCGCTGTTCATTATCTATCTATCTCGGTCGCTGTTCATTCATTCTATCTATCTATCTATCTATCTAGGTCGCTGTTCATTCTATCTATCTATCTATCTATCTATCTAGGTCGCTGTTCATTCTATCTATCTATCTATCTATCTAGGTCGCTGTTCATTCTATCTATCTATCTATCTATCTATCTAGGTCGCTGTTCATTCTATCTATCTATCTATCTATCTATCTATCTATCTATCTAGGTCGCTGTTCATTCTATCTATCTATCTATCTATCTATCTATCTAGGTCGCTGTTCATTCTATCTATCTAGGTCGCTGTTCATTCTATCTATCTATCTATCTATCTATCTAGGTCGCTGTTCATTCTATCTATCTATCTATCTATCTATCTAGGTCGCTGTTCATTCTATCTATCTATCTATCTATCTATCTAGGTCTATCTATCTATCTATCCATCTATCTAGGTCTGTTCATTCTATATCTATCTATCTATCTAGGTCGCTGTTCATTCTATCTATCTATCTATCTATCTATCTATCTATCTATCTATCTATCTATCTATCTAGGTCGCTGTTCATTCTATCTATCTATCTATCTATCTATCTATCTCGGTCGCTGTTCAATCTATCTATCTATCTATCTATCTATCTATCTCGGTCGCTGTTCAATCATCTATCTATCTTCATCTATCTGTTCATCTATCTATCTATCTATATCTATCTCGGTCGCTGTTTCTATCTATCTATCATTATCTATCTATCTCGGTCGCTGTTCAATCTATCTATATATCTATCTATATCTATATATATATATATATATCTATCTATCTATCTATCTATATATATATGTTCATTATCTATCATTGTATATATATATATATATATATATATATATATATATGTGTGACTCTGTTCACATCTATCTCAGCCTCTCTAAGTCTTTTTACATCTAATTAGCTAGATAGTGAATCCAATGCTCTATTTTATGCATAAATTGTTTTATATATCTATCTCTATATATATATATATATATATATATATATATATATATATATATATATATATATACCATACAATGCGAATATTTAAAACCAGCACAATGCGATTTTTATGTGACCCCGTTTGAAATGAGGCTTCTCGGACATTTTCTCCACCTCAGAAGCAAAAATAATCCTGCCTTGTAGTTTCAGGGAGCTTCCCTCCCTTCCCTACCCAGGCAGTCCCACCCTCTTGTATTTAAAGAGGTCACGGTTAATCACCCGATGCGTCCTAGAAAGGAAATGTTAAGAGCGGTGGAAACATACTGATACAACTCGCATATTCCAGCTTGTCATACCCCTCTTTTGTGGGGACGTTAATAAATAGGTCATAACAAAATATTAGCGAAACTGAATGATAATCCCTAAGGTTAACCCCACTTTATAGGGTGCCCATAATTAGGGATACTCTGACTACAAAATGGTGGGGAAACAAGGTTAAAATGGCCGATGATCCTAGGTGGAAGTGGGTTGGAGTAAAGAAGCAATAGACACTAGTTTAGAGAAATGACCAAAGATGTATTGGTAAAATTGCAGATTAGGGCACAGAAACCAATTTCAAAAGAGCCGGCATTTCTGGGGTAAAAAAAAAGCCCGAATATTCCAAAAACAGCATTAATTTTGCGGAATTTGTGTCATGGCTACAGCCCGGTCAACATTTGGTCTTTCCTCTTAATAATAACATAAACATTTTGATAAAACCTTGTTTTTATTAAGTTTGTGGCTTTTTCCAGCGTAAAAAGCATGATTATTACAAAAATATCCATAAAAATGTTTATGCACTACGGGTGCATAAACATTGAGTGGTATTGTGGCTAAATCGTCAGAGCCATGTCCCAAAGTGGTCATCTGTAGGCGTAAACATTGACACATAACATAAAGAATAAAGTTATATTCTGCAAATTCACCACCTCTGACAGCCATAATTTCGCAAACATTAACTTGTATCGGCAACAGTTTCAAAGAATGTAACAAAAATTTCTTTTATATGAAGCCAGGTCTGTGGAAGGAAATTTTTCAACAATCCTCTCCCGACTGGAACTTCACGAGATGTCCCAATGCGAAGGGCCAATGGAAGATTGTCTAGGCTTTGTGGCGTGTTGGCAATAACAAAGTTCCAAGGCTGGATGTTCTGCCCTACGAAATGATTCGGCACACCTGTTTGTTCGTTTTTTTTGGGTTTTTTTTTTTTTTTTTTTTTTTTTTTTTTACAATAAAGTTCAACCTTTGCAAGGCTCAGGGGCCACTCGAGGTAGAGGGTTCTTGTAATAAAATGGTTTATCTTCTGGACGAAAACGGATTTTAAATAATTAAATGCTTTCTTTGAACTTAAATGTTTGTGTCATTTGTTGAGAAACAATGACCTTCCTAGAGCTAATCCGAATGAAAAGAAAAATAATTTCCGTATTTTGAGGCATTTTTAAAACATTGTTACGTTTTTTCACCACCTATCGACTTATCGAACTGCCATTGTACACGAAAAATTTAACAAATTTAAAATTCTTTTTAAAATTCAATATTTCTCCAGATGTTTTTCGAAGTATATTAATAAATTTAAGGATTGATTAATTGGATTTTCTAAAAGTAATGCTTACCTTTTAACTTAAAACAAAATGAAAATAACGTTTTATTTGAGCACTGTGAGATCAAAGGAGAAATTAAAAATGCTGCAATTCCACCCCTGTCTGAAAAAGCGCGCGAAAATTAGAAATAAAAACGAAGGGGAAACCAGCAATACAATAATCAAGAATTTGTTATTTATGTTTAAAAATAAATTTTCTTTAACCTTATATAACTAGGAGTGTAAAATTGTTTGATTGACTTGATTACGCGTTTTGCCATTGTTAGATGGGCTTTCTTAGACCAGAACGAAAGAAATATCCATATGTTTGTGCGTGTGTGAATCTGTTTAATCTTTAATACTTTTCCCGTTAAGCTGCCGTCTCTCAGTCGGGATGAATGAAAGAACGAAATTGTGTGACTTTTGTAGAAAAGCAGTTATTTTAATTAATACTGTTTTCTATCTAATTTTCTTGTTTTGTCGAAATTTGCTTGTCCTATTTTCCAGAATGTGTTGAAAGTAAGTAAAAGATTCATAACTTCTGATTAAGTATAGGTATAAATTTGAAAGCACCTAAACAAAAATATAACGTAAATAAATGTAGTTACTAATTAGCATTATGTGAAACGAAAAACATTTATTTAATTCTAAGAGTAAATTTTAGAAAAATGACACTATAACTAACAGTAAAGTATTCTTTTTTTATACAAACGAGATAATTTCGTCGTAATTCTGAAAATTTTCTTGGTTACGAGAGGAACAAATTATACAGAAAAAAAAAGACGTTCTTAAAATAATAAAAACTTAAAATAGCAACTCCTGTTTAATTACTGAAATAAGTATTGCTTACTCTTGTTCTTGTATATACAGTACCGGGGAGAGAATTTCCGAGGTCTGTCACCCAGATTATTTTGACCCCCGGTCGGAAAAGGAGATACTGAGACAAACAAACCCGATCTCTAGCGTATCTTACAAGATTTTTTTAAAGAGTGTGTCTTACTTTGCAACCTTTGCGATCGAGTGTGATTTGGCACGAGAATTAGACTTTGAGGAACTCATCGCGCGTTTTGTTTCACTGAAAGTTCGAAAAATGCAATTTTAAGTTGCTTTGGAACTGGTTTTTTTTAATCTTCGTATTTTTTTCACTAAAATATCGATTCGTAATTTTGCTCTTTTTTTTTTTTTTTTTTTTTTTTTTTTGTAAAGAAGATACACCTAAACCCCTAAAGGTATTTTCTGGAAGCCCCTCGGGTTTCGAGGCCCGACACATTTGTGCCGGCTGCCTCCTCTTCTCGCCGCTACTGCTTGTATACAAGAATGTGTAGATAAATGCAGGAAAACAAAGACACGCGGAAAATCTGTAGATAGGAAAAACAGTGCTTTCAAGACACACACACACACACACACACACACAAACTGACTGAACGGGAGATATAAAAATAAAATTAGATTATAATACTCTTCTGATATTGAACAGTATTCAGTCAAAGTCAAAACGAGATATCAGCATTATGTCCTTTTTATACATCCATGCCCAAAATAATCTAACAGTTTCTAAAAGAAAAAAAATTAAATAAAATTCTTTTAAAATTTAAACAAAGTTGACACTCGAATTAAATTTTATATTTTCTTAAATCTTTAAACATGTGTTTATTTAATAAAATCTCTTGTGACGAACAGCAACAAATAAAAAATCGCACTGAAAATCTACAAGTAATTTTTTAAAAATGAATATTAAGTGTACTGTAGATTTTTTTCTCTCCGTTAAATCTGAAAGAAAATAACGTGTTTTTATTAAACTATGGAAGCACCAATTCCCCAAAATAAATATTTTTTGAGTTTTGTTGAATTGTTTTTGACAAAATGCAGGACGATTTTTTCGTACGTTCACGCTTGATATTTCATAAATTTTTAATGAAATAATCAGGGATTTATTTTTTATAAAGCTGTAAAAAAAAGAAAATGGATCCCTCCCATTAAAAAGTACACACAAGATATCGAAAAGGAGGGAACACAGCCCCCAATATTTACCCAAAGATTTTTAATAAACTAACCTATTCAGCTATCATAATAGTGTATGCACCAATAACACAGAATAAGAAAGAAGAAATCAAATCTTTCTACCGCATGCTAGACAACGCCAAGCCTCATTACAAATCGCAAGAAGTCATAATTTTCATGGGAAACCTGCACGCCAAAGTAGGCAGGGGAGATAACTGGCAATTTCGGACTAGGAGCCCGTAACGAATGCGGTGAAAAATGGGTACTCAACAGATCCCAGCTAGTCAATATTTACTACCCCTCCCACGAAGGTAGATGTAGCACAAGCCGAGTTTAACGTGGGAAATCCTATCCCGTAAGCTCGGCCAAAAATTCCCCGTAGAAGCCGCAAAAACGTGTTCGGGTCTGTCTACCACTCCGGACGAGACACTGTTCTTCGGCACAGTCTCGTCAGGGCTCCTCTTTGCCCAAAGGCAGAGAGTTCGACAGCAGCTAAGAGCTGAGTAACAGATCCCAGCTAGTCCGTATTTACTAGAACGAGGGTAGATGTGGCACAAGGACGAGTTTAACGAGGGACATACGACCCCTTAGGCTCGGTCAAAAAATCCCCCGTAGAACCCGCATAAACGGGATCGGGTCTGTCTACCACCCCGAACGAGACTCTGCTCTTCGGCATAGCCTGTCCGGGTACCTCTCTGCCCGTTCGACCCTAAATCTGAAAAGATTTCAGCTAGTATATTTGCCAACCGCTCCACGCGGTCAGATGTGGCACAAGGCCGAATTTAACTTTGGATATCCGAGCTCGTAGGCTCAGGCAAAACTTCCCCGTAGACCCCGTAAAAAACGAGGTCGGGTAGCTGTCTACCACCCCAGACGAGACTCTGCCCTTCGGGAGAGCCTCGTCTGGGTTCCTCTCTGCTCAGAAGCAGAGAGTTCGACCAGCCAGCCGAAAAAGATTTCGGCTAGTCAATATCTACTAGCCCCCCACCCACAAGGGTAGATGTGGCACAAGGCCGAGTTTTACGTGGGTCTTCCGAGCCCGTAGGCTTGGCCAAAAAATTCCCTTTCGAACCCGTATAAACGGGTTCAGGGTCAGTCTACCTCCCCGAACGAGACTCGTCCGGATTACTCTCTGTCCGAAGGCAGAGAGTTCGACTGTATATCCGAAAAAGATTTCGGCTAGTATATTTAACCGACACCCCACGAGGGTTGTATGTGGCAGAAGGCTGAGTTTAACGTGGGTTATCCGAGCCTGTTGTCTCGGCCCCAAAATGCCCGTAGAACCCGCATAAACGGGATCGGGTTGGTCAACCTCCCCGAACGAGGCTCTGCCGAAGAGCAGAGTCTCGTCCGGGTTCTTCTCTGCTCAGAGGCAGAGAGTTCGACCGTCTAGCCGGAAAGATTTCGGCTAGTCTCTGTAGTCCGTTGACTTACAAATACTTATAGGTAGTTACTACCTATAGTGTAGTCTCACATCGGGGGTGGGAACAGGTTATTCCATTGCATCAAAATTAAAATTATTGCTTCATAAAAACTTGAGGGGGGGCTCTAGACTGCTGCCTATACTAGCCTAAAGGATAATCCGGCTTTGATGACGAGTGGTTATGGTGAAGTTTAGCATGCTTTTGGTTCACTTTTGTACAGTTTGACCAGGAAATATGCGAGAGCGATAATTCACAACGATATTCTTTGGGACATTAGACCATAACGAGTTTTGTCGTGGAAAAGCGCTGCATAATTTGGGCTCTGTGCCAAAACGAAACTAATTTAACCTACGCGGTTTCAGGATCACAGACAGGTATGTTGCAGGCCTCGCTACTTTATGTTGCAAAGTCTGTATGTTTTTTTCATTAAATATTGCTACTGGAACATTTATCCTGCAAACAATATTTAGCAGACTCGTGTGAGTCCGGGCAAAAATAAGAAAGAAAACATTGAATTTTTAAACAATTGATGCATGTATTAAGACAAAGAAACTACATTAATGTGTACACAGTTGAAGGAAACTAAAGGAAAAGTCATTAAAAACTGATATGTCCCAGAAAGGGATATATTTGTTCGAAGTAACAAAGTGGTTTTGGACTACTGTAACCGAGTTGGACAATCTAGCAGGTAACCGTAATGGACTGGTCCTCGTCGTAGTGGTAGGCAATAGGTGTAGGCAATAGGCAAAGACAATAGGCGTCCTCCATGTACCTCCACATCAGTCTGTATTTATGGCTGACACCAGCCAATCATATGACTGTGAGGGGAAACTCAGGTGTATGCATATTCATTACATCAAAAACTTGGCTATTAAGAATGTGCTTGTTTGTGTGTGTAATACACATGGATGTGTGTATGTGCGTAAGTTCAGTTGTCAGTGGACCAAGGAAACTAACGTTTCCCAGCGGGGGGGGGGCGTTTTCACCTACGAGCTACTTACATCATGGAGTAAGAGGAAGAAAGAGTTTATTCAGCAAAATAAATTGCTTTTGGCACAGAAAGAGGAAGAAGAGGAAAGAAATGGTTGTCATTTTAGACTTAAACGCTGCTTCCTAACGGACGTTTAGTGAAGCCAATTGGGGTAATCAACAACAGGTATAATTAAACTTCAAAATCCCAAACAAGTAGATCCCTTACAGCAGGTGGCTACCGGAGTGAAAAAATGTACGTGCAAAAAATGATGCGTTTTTTCCTTTATTTTTTTTATACACTTTTATTCGCCAGAAAGAGTCTGAAACATTTTCAGTGTAATGAATAAATTTCATAAATATTTTCCTCTTGTTGTGTCCCATTCAACTAGACGGTTGGTCTAGATTTAAAAAAAAAATTAACAGAATTGTGTTACATTGCGTTACCGTTGGAAACTAAAAACCTCAGGCTCTACAAATCGCTAAAAATCAGCATACCGTGATCAAAAAAATGCTCCAAAAGTAATGAAGTATCGTCAAAATCTTTGTTAAGAGGAAAGATCAAAGTATTTTTTGAATATTTAAATTTTTACTCCTTTTTAGAACGTCGGAAATTTTGAATAAAAATCTTGTTTTTCTTGCGTCAGCGAATGTATTATAAATTAGCAGAGAAAATTTTTTTTTTTTTTTTTTTTTTTTTGGTGACAGACACATTAATTTCGAAATTCTTGCAAAAATCAAATAATTGTCGGATTTTAATGAAATTTTCAGGACTCATTCACAAATGAATGAAATTATTTTAGAAATGTCTGTATTAGAAAATCTTGTTAAATATATATATATATTACATTTGTTTCACCCCGCTTACTTAATTTTATGTAAACTTGAGAAATTCAACGTGATAACTTTTAGTGATGATAAAAGCAGAATTCTTTGGAGAATTTAAATCACCGATTTTTTGCTTTTTTTTTTTTTTTTTGACAAAATCGACAAAAAAAAAAAAAAACCGTCTAAAATTAAGACGGAAAAATCTTTTATAAATATATTGTCTTAAAATAGGCTCCTCCGGTTTTTCGCGGGAAAACATAGCGTAATGAAAAAGGCCACAAACTTAACGAAAATAAAGTTTTATCGTCAAAATGTTTATGTTATTATTAAGATGAAAGACCAAAGTATTTTTTTTTATTATTCTTTGAACTTTTTAATCCTTTCTAACACGTTCCAAATTTTGGTTAAAGTCTTCTTTTGTTTACATCATCGCGGTGGCATGAAAATAACATTTTTTTTTTGCGCTTTTTCTCCGTTGAAAACAGATTGATTTGGAAATTCTTGTAAAAAATCAAGTAATTGTCCGATTTTAATGAAATTTTTAGGTCTTATTTACAAATGAATAAAATTATTTTTTAAATGTTTTTTTTAGAAAATTTTGGTAAAAATATTTTTTTTTAAATATTTCAAAATTTTTAATTTTCTTTTTACATATTTCACTAAATATTTTCTTTTAATTTTTTAAAAATATGATTGATTTTTTTTCTTTTTCAGTGAGAGACATACTACAATTATTAATTTTTTCTTTTTTAGATTCAGTTTTAGGGACGGAAGCATATCTTCGTTAAAAAACTACGTAAAAAATCAATAAAATATTAGACATTTGAAAGTATTTATTTTTTAAGAAATACTTAATAGTTAAATAAGCTGGTTCACTTAAAATTCGAAACTACTGTCACTTTTGCCCTTCCACTCGATAAATTGCCCGGACGTTAGTTGTCGATACATTGACATAAACGTCAATTCACTCCTCCAAAACCAGTCACCACGGTTTGATATACTTCTCTTATTTCCAACTAAATTTTTTCTGCTAAAAATTAAGTAATGTTTTCCACTTACATTAAGTATACTCTAAATTTTCTAATTTTCATAAAATAACTTTTGGAAAAAGTATAATTGAATTTTACAAGATTTTTAAACCGAGAATTTCATTTTTTTTTTACAAAGTTGTCAATAATTGCTCATATGATCGATTTTTATGTACATTTTGCTGACTCAAACAAGATTTTTAATTAAAATTTCGGATGTGCTAGAAAGGATGAAAAAATTTAAAAAATACTCAAAAAGTACTTTGGTCTTTCCTCTTAATAATAACATAAACATTTAGACAATAAAAAAATGTTTAATTAAGTTTGAGGCCTTTTTTCATCAGGGTATGCACTTTTTTTAGTGAAGTATTGGACAATGTGATAACTATCCTGTATTTATATCATTGGGCCACTAAATCCTTCTCGATCTGTCTCTCTCTCTCTCTCTCTACCTGCCTCTCTCTCTTTCTATGATCAAGTTAACCAATGTCAAGCCTGGTTAGTACATAGATGGGTGACTACTTGGGAATACCAGTTGCTGTAAGCATGGATGTGTGGGTGATATAATGGATAACCTCTCAGAATTGTAATTCAAAGAGTAGAGTTCCAGTCAAATTTGTTATATTCACTTACACCCTATTACCATTGGGAGGGCATTGAATCCACCTCTAACACCTTCTCCTCCAACTATGGGTTTATTAATAGGATTTGTATCAGTAAATCATTATTTCCCAAAATTCTTACAATCTAGAAAAAAATTTTCTGGCTTTAAATAACCTGCAAAAGGTTGATAAGCCATAAAAAAAAAACAAAACCATCACTCACTCTACCTACCTATCTGTCTGTCTATCTATCTATCTACCTATGACATTTGAAAATTTTGGTGCCCCGGTCAAGGCATTGCTTTTCCTTTTGATTCTCATTGAAAATCAAACATTTTTGTACATTCATTGCCCATACATAGACCTAGGGATGATGATACAAGAATATTTATTTTAAAAGCAATTCATTTGTTTTAAAGTTCATCAAAAGTGACAGGTTTTTAACCTTTATCATTCTGTATGTGACTTCATTTACTGTGCAAAAAGTTCATCCTACCGCCAAAGGTGACTGATCCCTGAATTTGAATTTGTTTGAATTTCATAGTTGTTTTACCATATCCTGCTATGGCAACAGAAAACACCTTTGAGGGAAATTAGCAATAAGCTTGTAGTGACACTAAGAGCAGAAACAGGATGTTACCCCTTTCATAGCTTAAAACATAATGATATCTTTCGGGCTTTGTGCAATAGGCTCCATTCATAACTTCCGGCTGAAGTTGATTAAATACAATCCCAAATAAATATATGTTGACCAATAAGAAATGAGTGTGCCTGAGATAATCAACAACTAAATCGGAGCCTCTTTCAACTTTGCTAACAATGTAAATAGACACCTGTCTAAAAGAAAAAAGAAAAGAAGAGATTCCAACAGGAGACACACAGATAAGACTACTTACAATTGTGAGCAGATACATCAAAAGCATCTCAGCTTCAACAACCACTACCACTCCTTACATCTCTCTCATTTTCACCCTCCCTTTTACTTCTCTCATACATTCTACCTCCTTTTTCTTATTCACAGGACATATTACTAAATGAAACTTACATCTCTTAAAACACTTAAGTACTTTTACAAACTCTTGTATTCATTGAAATGTAACAAAAGAAATATTTCATTTAATTTTACTTAAATACCAACCTTGTGCCATCTATGAACATAACTACTGTTTTTTACAATACGAAACTACTTATTAATGTTTATATAAATTATTATTGTTATACTCCAGGCTTGACTGTTCTTAAGATGTAGTTTATCATGTTTTATTTACTCATTCATACATCCCTTATAGTGGGCTAATCTTAACAAGGCCCAAATTGAATCCCACAAAAAATCCATTATAGCATATTACAGTAGCAGTAATGATAGTACTGTAAATGTTGAATAAAACAATTTTTCTGTCTATATTTCTGAGATGAGGTATTATGTACACTATTTACATTATTCAAACTATTGTCCTCATCTTTGTTGCCATATTTGTTACAACGTTTCGGCCGTTCAGTATCTGTCTATATTTCTGAGATGAGGTATTATGTACATTATTTACATTATTCGGACTATTGTTCTCATCATATTTTTGTTTCATCCCTTCAGTATCTGTCTATATTTATGTACATTATTTACATTATTAGGGACTATTGTTTTTCATCCCTTCATCCCTTCAGTATCTGTCTATATTTCTGAGATGAGGTATTATGTACACTATTTACATTATTCGAACTATTGTCCTCATCTTATAGTGGGCTAATCCTAACAAAGCCCAAATCAAACCCCACAAATAACCTACTATAAACTTACTGCAACTGAGAGGCCTTGAAAAAATATGCAGTGGGGAGGGAAATAATATTAATAATGAAGAATGCTAAAGGTTAATACTCAAGTGTTTCTCCATTATAGTCTGCTACTATTTTAATGCTTACTGTACTTTGGTTGTTGTAAGTTTTTTTTTTTGGGGGGGGGGTTGTACAATGATGTTTACCCTGTACAAGGCCCAAGAGCCACTCAAAATATAGGATTACAAAAGAGAAAACAAAACTTTTGTGCTTTCTCTGCTATCTGTTGAAAGAGAAAATCAGAATCCAGATCTGGTCGACTTTAGTAGGCCTTGAAATATGGTAATTGTCTTCACTTCCCTACCAATCTCACTAATCACAACCTTTCTTTCTACAATAAAAGAACGCTACTTTGGACCAGAGGATTGTTCGGCTCTTGATGAATGAAGAAGGCTGTTGTGAATTGCGAGAGATGGATTTGGATTTTTGACCCCTTTTGATTTATATCCCTGGCATTTTCTGACATTGGACGTGCAAGACTGATTTATTTTTTCTGCCACTGAAACTGACTCTGATCCTTGAACAATAAAGGGGATTTCATAGTTGTGTTGTTATATCCCGCTATGACAACAGAAAACAACTTTGAGAAAAATTAAAAATAAGGTTACTGCAACTGAGAGGCCTTAAAAAAGAATACAGTGTAAAGGGAAGTAATATTAATAATGCAGAGGGCTAAAGGTTAATAAATGAAACAGACACACTGTTATACCGGAACATTACCTATTCTATTGTAATAGACTCTCCCACACATAATAAGTAGTAGTAGCGGTCGCCAGTTGGGCTCAGTGGAGTGGAGTGAGTCAGTTGATGTCGGACACTGAAGTATCAACCACCCCAACTAGATTGCTGCATCATTAACTATTATTTTCAAGTTCCTAACGTTTTGTACGTCGAACCCTTTAGGACCAACTTAATGAAATACAAGCCTCCACTGTGAAAACTACTCTACAACACACACACACACACACTCACTTCTAGTGAGTGAAACTCAACTGAAGAAATTCAGTTTTAAAGATCTTTGTCTATCTGAATTTCTTGGATGAAGAGTTATTATTATTTACATTATTTAAATGTTGACTATTATACTCATCTTTATTTTCCCTACAGGTCAATATTCTAGTTGGTTTGTGAATTTAATAATTGTTGAGTTCAATCCCAAGATGGGCGGTATATACACAGTTGAAACTAGATGAACGATAATCGAGTTATACTAAAATAACAATTAGATGAGATATCCCGAGACATGCGCAATGGAAGAACAATCTATCTCTTTAGATTAAATAAAGGGTTCAGATTGACAAGCAAATGTTTTATGTATATAGCTTCAAGAATTTTAAACTTTTGTTTATTTATAAAACAGTTGAAACCTAATCTGAACAAAATAAACTATGAAATTTCCACAAATATTCTTAAATGCCTATAATTGATAACAGAAGCCATTGGTTTATACCAACGGCTTCCCATACTTAATACTTTTCACTCTCGTGTGGTCATGTGTGACGTCATGAGCTGCGGTGCGATTTTCGTTTCCAGTGTCTCATATGCACAAGTTTGTCATTGCTTGGAAAGCTTCCATATAAACAAAAACAGACTATCATTATTGTTTTGTCCATGTATTGTTTAATATATTGTAATGTAATTGTCATCTTTGATAATAGCTTATGTAAGCCGAAAGCTTAGATAGGATTAAAAAATATGTATCAATATTGTGATTTTCTTTCTTTCTTTTAGTGATAATGCTATTAAGCTTATCAGATGATATGAAAAGAATTTACATAAAATAGATAAAACTTGTCTATATTATTCAATGAAACATGCATCAATGAAAAAATGCTGCCTAAATACACACAAAAATCTTGGTAATCTGTATGGATAATCCCAAGGAAGATGAAATCCTGAGAGCTAAATGTTAATTCAGAGTGAATAATTTAATTTAAAGAAAAACAGACCACTTTAAGTCTCCATTTGTAATAATTTATTTCATCAGAGAATTTTATTTTCTCTGGACCTTCAGACTTCACTTTCAAAAGATGAAACGAAAAAAGAATTTTAAATTTACACTTTTGATGGGCAGTATTAAGCTTATATAATTTGACATAGAGAGTGGTGAGGAATGGTATGAGAGACATGGTTGAGTTTAGAGAGGGAAGGGAGAGTTTTAAAATTTATTTTTTATATTTCTTTTTATTATAATACTTAATATTGATGAAGGAGGGGCTAAGGATCAGACATTGACCTATTTAATCCGTCAACTCAAGGAAATGATATGGGAAAAGGAAAGGAGAAAAAAGGGAAAAAGAAAAAGGGGGAAGTAAAGAGATAAGAGATGTATGTAGGATTTTTGGAGGAAGAAGAGGGATGGTATAGCTTTAGCAATTTAGATAAAAACAGATTTTAACGTTTGATAGTAATTTAAATGTTTAAAAACTCCACAAAGAAAATTAATGCTTGTTAGCAATTTAAATATTCAACTTCTCCATAAATAAATTAGGGATTTAATATAAGTCGAATAATATATTAATAAAAAAACAATAATAAAAAAATAAAAATTTACTAATAGTAATATTTTAGTATTGTGAATGACTGTTAAGGTTAAATCTTTATCAGTTAGTCTAATTCATGAATTTAATTTGCAGCTATTTTTAGATGGGTAATATTTCTTAATTAAAGTTTAGGTTTCAAATCAAGATGGAGTAAGATTTGAAGGTAATAGTAAAAAAATTACTATTTTTTTCATAAATACACCACATACATATTTACATAAAAAAATACACATACATTCATGTACATGTGCAATTACACATGTAACCACATACACATGTATCGATATATATGCATATACATATACAAATACTTACATATACATTTATATATCTCCACACGCATCCATATTTATACATATTTAAATTTTTACTTAAATTTTACAGTTAACGTTAGGTGGTGAATTAAGTGTTTAAATTTCAAAAAATATTTTTAATTTTAATATTCTTAAGATCATGAAAAATGGTTAAAGAGTAACATATTTTAATTTAAATATAAGTGATCAATTTAAATTGAGATTATCTCCAGATGAGTAAAATTTCGAATCTTTCAAGTTTAATTAGAAATTATTTAAAGAGAAAGTAAGATTAAAAGGCAATAAAAAATGTTCTGTCTTTCCATTAGAACTCTATATATATAAAAACATACACCCATGTATACATATATATGCATACAATTATATCCTACACATATATTCACACATATCACATATATAAATTCACAAATACATATATATATATAAAAATATATATGCAACCCCATATACATGAATCAATACATATACACATATATCTATCTAAATTTACGAATATACATATTTACACATGCATATACATATACACACAAATTCACATATCGATACACAAGTTCATATACACATTTATATACATACAATTATGTACCCACACACATGTGCATACAATCATCCTTATATTTAAAAATAAGCCAATATTTACCATCGTATATAGTTTTTTTTCTTTTTTATATGTAGAGATTTAAATTGAGAGGATTTCTATGCATTTAAAGATCATCTTGTTATGTTGGTTTAGTAATTTATCAGGATCTTGATGCTTTATCATTAGGATCTTCTCTTTAATACACAGGTCACATCGGTCTCTGAAATTTATTTATTGGAGTTCAAGCCCTAGAGATGATTCTCCATTTCACTTGTCGGGTGAAGCCGTTTTCCAATAAATCCCAATAGTGTTTCGACAGTGCTGTTTGGTGTCTTTTGGATTCATTTGTGAAGGACTGGCGATGGTTGTAAAAATACTGTTTCCAATTTCCCGCAGATATTCCTATATATATATATATATATTTTTTTTTTTTGTTTTACATTTTCCTTGGGGGAAATTGTAACTTCATATATCACGTTTTCTGCCATGCATATTCCTCCTACTGGACAATCAGATCCTGCTCTGCAATTACAGGTAGATGTTTCCTTTTTCAATTGGTTTGCATTAAGATCCCTTTGTAATTGGTTATTGTGAAATTCCATAATAATTTTGCTAGTTTGAGAGCTTATAATTTTTTCTACATTGCTTATGGATGAATAAATAATTTTTAGATTCATTTTATTAAATATTTTTTTTCAATAGCTCATCTTTACTAAAATGCTTATCTATTAGCTTTAGGAAGTATTTCCCTATATTGATATTAGATAATTTACAGAAAGGCAGGTTG